CTCAAGGTTTCTGGACAAAGAAATTACGAAGAGTCTTTGATTCAAGTTTTCAAAATGTAAAACTGAATACACTTCACAAGGCAGAACACTCACATTGCAATAAACTTCAACCAACAGAAAATCAACCAAAACAGTATAACCAATAGGGCAATATAATCAATCAGGTAGTATAACCACACAGGATCAGACATCAAACTTGATTCAGAACACCCAACACAATATATAGCTAGACAGAAAACGTGATAACCAAAAACTGTAAAGATCTCACCAGCCCTTTAATTAGGGTTTCAAGAAAAACGCAGAACAGCTCAAGTTTGCGGTATCAGTATCAAGAATCGAGCACTACTCAGTCAAGAGCTCCTTCCAAACGCTCTAATACCACTGTTGGAAAGAGTTAACACTGATTAGTAAATGAATCAACAGAATATATGTGCCAAAATAAAACGAAAGGAACAAGAATCAACAAAGTAAACTGAAAATGGACTCATCTTTATTTCTTGAAGCACCCAAGTCAAAAAATCAGTACAGCTAGCCTAGCTTACTAAAGAACAACCACTGATCTAGTGCAAATCACAACCAAAGTGAGAATACAAGAAATGGACACTCAGACTAGACCGATTTATTACATAAAATAAAAGATCCCTCTTCGCAACACACGGTTCACACAAGAACCAACCCTCAAACAACGAAATCACTCAAGATTTACAGATTATTTGAGAGAAATTAGAAATCAAATGAGAATATTTGATTTCTACAATGAACAAGAAGACACAAGAGAAACGGCGCAGTAGAGAGAACAATCAAAGAGTACAGAAGCTAGAAGAATGAATCTCAAACCCTAGAGACGCCTTTTATGAGTCTCCTAAAGTGCCCTTCATCCAACGGCTAAGGTGATTGCACTTGGTGACATCCAGCCCGTCCATTTAAAAGGTAAGTAGAAAAACACAACTTCAACTTCAACTTCACAGAAACATGCCTTTTCCCTTGCACCAAAGAACTAAACAGATTTAATAAGCTGGGCTTCAATTAAATTCCAGCTGGGCCAACAATTTCAGCCCATTGGGTCACTGCATCATTGTGCCACAATTTCGTTTCAGAACTGAATCCAGAATTTCACTCATCCCGATTCACCTCAACAGAAACGATGGAATTTGAAATTAAAGTGATTACTACTTTATTAAAATATGAAATTTTAAATAAAAAAGGCTAAATAGTTAAAAACTTAAAATATAATGGGGTACTTACAAAAATACCCTTATAATCAGGGATGTTGTGAAAAATTATATGAAGGGTTTTTAGGAAGTAAAAAATATTGTGTAAAATGATTGTCACTTTTTTATTTTTAAAAAAAAAGTGACACAAACTCAAAAAAAAGTGACAAATA